TATTTAAAACGATTGGCATACATTATTCAATAAATAAATAAATGGATAATCTAGTTAGGAGTGGGTTTGTAAATGTTTGGTGAATGGAAAAAAAACGCCTTTTACATTAAATGAGTAAAGACTGGAAACTCCATAGATTTTCTTGACAAATGGCTTCTCTTATAATCGTGATAACTTTCCTACAGAATGAAGCGGACACAAAGAACCGACCTGTTCAGCTAAAGAACGCCACCCAAGGTCATCCGTGCGATCGCACTCATAGGTCTCATTGAGGAGAGGATTGAATGGCTTGTTCACACGCAGAGCGGTGCTCGCGTAGGAGGAGACCACAAAAGCGGAGACGTAGGCTAACTGCTCTACGGGATCTGCACATGTTGCCGCCCGATCCAACACATAGGAGTATTCAAAGTTCTCCGATAGGCGCTGCAGCATCGAGAGTGGCTCACTGAAGTTTACCTACAACCAACATGTTATTAACTTTCTTATCTGCACGAAGAACAGAAGCAAGTAATCGTAGTAGCATCAAGGAAACTTTGTAAAGTGGTGAAAACGCATACAGGAAGGCCATGAAAAGAGCCGCTCATACAGGCATGGGAATTTTGGTCAGCTCCTTCCCAATGCAGTTGCTGAGGATGCTCCAAAGGTTCAGACTAATGTTAGGTTTTGGAGGAATAGTAGTTCTTCGCTGCACGGGTTTACGCACGGGGATGATGCGTCTGTCGGCAGCCACTGAGACGCCTGCCTCGGCGCCACTCTTTCCCGGAATGACAGCAGGGAGTGACTCAGGTTGTGCAGATGCTCGGCTAAGGGACAGTACAATACATTAATAACTATTCTTACCACTGGAAGCTCCAGTTTAGTTAAATATTTACGCTGACTTTTGCGCACTACTGGAGAAGACGTGGAAGAGAATACACAAGGAAGTTCTGCGGTCGTAGCACAAATATAAATGGTATCGAAAATTATTCTCTCTAACTGTCCACCAACTAATAAATACGTAAGCAACTTCCAAGCATAAATCAAGGGTGTTATTTGACATCCCGTTTTAAGTACTAACTTCGATAAAACAGCTCCACTGTACGAGCTTCCAATAGTTCGTGGGTGAAGGGTTATTTAAGCACTGCAATGAACTACTATAGCAGTAATCAGTAAAGGGCGCACAGGTGAGTACATTATACAATTAAACTAGAAAGTGCGTTTGATGCTCCCATAAACATCATGCGATTAGAACGGTCTGTTACTCTGACATGAAACTTTTAAACAAAAAATGCAGATAAATAGTAATGCTACTACAAGTTTTGCAAAATCTAGAAGAAATCTCACAAACGAGTACCAATGTTGAACAGCAAAATAGAGAGGAGTAGCATACCCTGCTCTGCCCCAAGCGTGCTTTTGAATGACATGCGCCTGTTTTCCACGGAACTTTTGTTGCCCCTTTTCCGTCTCTTCAGCATCTCCTCCTAGATCCGAATCCGCGGTATCCGACTCATATTCCATCGCGAGGTCCGATCCCACTGGGATGGAGGCCGTAGAAGAGTTAGGCAGAGCTATATCTGTCATAGATGACTTCTCTGCGATGGCGAAAGTGGACGTAGTGGGCAGAATGACGTCAAATTCACAGCCTTCGACGTCCTGAGCATCGTAGAAGTCGTCTTCATCATCTGAAGTGATGCTGGAGACGGCAGTGGAGGCACAGGGTGGGAGACCACTGCCACCGCCGCTGCACGCGCCCAGTGTAGTTGAACGTGTGCGCGTAGTCTCTGTCGAGGTTCGACGGACCAACACTGCTTGTCCTGGAATCGCCCACGACCCTGTGAATCAAATGCAAATTAACGCCGTAAACCATTAAAACCATTGCAGCTTCTTTGTATGAAGCTTCCACACTATTCTATGAAAGTTGCAGTAAATCAGAGCCGTAAAGTGATGGAATGTAGTGCTCATGGTTAAGCAACGTTAAGGTTAGTTCAGATCTGCGCAAAACGAAGGCATTAGGGCGGAGGCCAAAATGCATTACGAAATAATCTCATCCAAGGATGAAAGACTCTGTTGACACCTCATTCAAATTTGATGTTGACACAACCAAGACAAATTTTCAAACGACGATACGGATCGTGTAATATACTATAAACTGAGCTGCTGGAAGATGAATTGGCACAGTGTATTATCTTAAAATAATGCATAGAAATACGTTGAGTTGACTGTACCGAATCAGGCGGATTACATGGTTAGGACAAGTATTACCATCTTGGGTAAGTACGGTAGTATAGTGTCCACGAATTAAATTGAATTAATAAAGGCCAACGTGTGAGCGCAGGTTGACGGAATGACCACTCGTAAAAATAGCACAAAAAGTGGATTATTAAATCAGTATCGAATATATGGTGAAAAGACCTGTGGAGAGCAAGTAGCAATTTAACAAAACCTCCAGATGGGAGCCCGAAATTACACGTTGATGGGTGCAGGCCTCCACCGACAATCACAAGGATTAAACAACTGTCTTGACACCATCTCTCGAACATCGAGACAGAGAAACGTGAATGAAAGGGTGCGCATCGTGACGTTTTCATAAATATGGAGCACAACAGTTGGCCAAAGAGTAACAAAGGAGGTTTCAAAAGGTATGATGCATTAAATACTCCTCAGTTGCAAATACTAAGGATACAAACGCCACCTGAGTGCATTGACTTGTTGCGAGCTTGAATTTCAAGTTTGCGAATTTGTTTGGCCAGCTCTTCAACCATTTGCTCTAAGTGTGCTCGACGATCAACCTGAGCACTAAAGATGCGGCGCCAGCGTTTCGTTTGAGTTCTGGCAAAGTCCAGAAAGTCGGAGCATGACTGTAAAATATTCGACATAAGTTCAACTAGTACAGTACAAAACTGTGATACGTATGAGGAAAAAACAGAGGCTTCAAAAAGCCTGCATCAAATACTGTATTATGCAAACGTGAAAAATAATATAGATTGTCTAAATGTAGTAGTAAGCACTACTAAAATAGGACATCAGTTCGTGGTTTCGAAAATTATGTAAAAGTTTTTGAAGGCCTCAAGTATAGAGGCAAACCAACCGTAGTAATATTAGACCACTCGCAGGCTTAGAAAGCACAAACATATGATTACGAATACAAACGTTTAGGCACAGGATCAAGCGAAACATTCCAAGTTCGGACCATATTGGGATAAGTTAGAACGCTTACGTTGACCATGGCCAAACTGGCAACCTTATACACGGTTGCCTTGTCCATGACATTGCATATTATTTCGATTTGATCTGGTGGAAGATTGCAGGCATCCAGTTCATTAATTGATCTTTGGAGCTCATCAGCCTTCCTTTTTAAAGTTTCCTGATAGTGCTGGAGATCATTAATACGATTTTCGAAATGAGAAAGCGCATGTTCAACTAAACGAGCACCATCTTCTGGCACCAATCGTGGGGATGACCAAGCAATATCATTGTCATCTTCCCCGTCATCCCAATCATCAGAATCATCACCTAAGGCACAAATCAAATCAACAATTCCATAAAGAAAAGGCTAAAATCCAAAGGTGTAGACACCTGACTTTCCCAAAGCGAGAGCATTAGCCTTTCCCATTGTTAAGGCGGTCATCCACTTTTTCTGCTCAATTTCATTTGCTGCTTTGAGATGGAAAGTTTGACTACTGCTGTTTGAGATGACCAATGTCAAATGTCCAGTCGACACAATTTTGGCATTGGCCAGATTGATTGTGCCCCGACATGTGTGGGTAACTTCGGATTGATTTCTACTGTAATATTTGAGCATGAAACAGCCTACCTGTAATATGATAACAAACCATTTTGCAAGACAAACCACCGTTTTTGATATCCCTTAATGTAGTTTGTCCATTTCAATAGATAACCCTTCAAATTGGATGAAGAACTCTGATCAGTCATTCGTGAACTGACTCTCCCGATTGGGTGTAGAACAATTTCAAAAAAGTGCCTTAAACGTAAGCACATATTTCGTACAATTTTGCAAAAGGAAAAGCTTCTTCGGTGTCGTACGACGCCTGTATCTTATTTTTTATAAAATAAATGAACTTTTTAGCGTGTTCCTAATATTTTGCTGCATTAGAAGTAAACTTGGAGGAAATCAGACGCTTTAAACATACAATATTTATTTCGACTTAGATGACGCTATCCAATGATAGTTCTTTAACTGTTCAGGATTCCCATACAAGAAATTTACTTGACAACGTAAATCAAAGGACTAAGACTTGTTTAAACACTTGTACTGGAAAAACTGATATAGGAGGTTAGACTCTGGCATGGTCGGAAGTACAGCTCTACCACTCGCACACCAGAATTAATGGAGTCACCAAAACCACTGTCCTTCATGCAGACAGCCGAAATGACGATGCGTTACATTCCCTTTTTATCCTCTTTTGAGGACGTCTTCACTACACTTGTGTTAGTCACCACAACGTATTTGGTGCTGCATGAATGCATTCATAAAACTCGGCAGCCTCAGCAGGAGCTGCAGTTACATTTGACCTGAATACAGGATTCACAGGCAGGAAGTTCTATTGTCCA